CATACTTGCTGCAGGGGTTTTGGATAACCACAATGAAATCACTGAGGCAAAACTTCTGAAACAATAAATCGATATATTCGGGATGCAAATATATTAGTTCCTTCAAATGAAAATAATGTTAATGTTCATAATGTATCTGATACTATGAATTACAATATATGCATAGCAAAACAAATAATAAGGAAAACGACTGAAAGCACATATGGTCTTCACAATGTGTGTTCCGAAATGCAAAATATTTTCAAAAATCACACTTCCTCAGGTAAGCAAAACAATTCTGATGATGATACCTTTACGAAACCACATGCAAACACATATGTACCTGATAATACCCATGGCAGAATTACCTTGACTCCCCAAACTGGTACGCAAGACAACTTTTACAGCGTTCATGCAGTAAATATTTCATGTAAATTATATTTGTTTCCAATAACGTAGATGTTGTAAACCATGGTTCAAATTTTGCTGATAATGATAATGACGTTATAGCTCTTGGACAAGATGTTTTTTGGTAGTGATGATGATGATGAATGATGATGATGATGAGGAGGAGGAGGAGGACGACGACGACGACGACGATGATGATTGTGATATAATGAGTACATAGTTTCTTAAGTTTAAATGTATGTGGCATAAGAAAGCGGACGGACTATAAGGAATTTATTGATCTAATACCTTTTCTTTTTCCCTTCCGAACGCTGTAAAATAGTGGTATATTTAATTCGTCCACTGTTTGGTTTTGTTTCTTGAGCCGGGAGAGCACTGTAAGACGATCATGTAGTGCAGGTGTAGCATTTTGAAAAAATAATGAGAGTATATATCGTTAACGAGAGAAACATGCAAGTACATGGTATTTATCCCCGGTCAAGATCATTATTTAGGAACCCTAATATCCCACACGAAGGATCAAAGTTGTATGTTATAAGTGATATGATATGATATGAACGTTGGCAATCAATAATCATTATGTCAAATTGTTAGTACGTCCCTCTCACAGGGGATTTGAATGTCAGAGATATTTAACGAATTATATTAAGATTAACGAATTTGATCTCAGTGTGGATTTTGATCAACTGAGATTAGAACCTAATCCTGAATCTGTTCTCGATGAGCCCGGGATGCCTAGCGTGAGGGGTACTCAAGGCAGAAGTGGAATAAACTTACGGAATTAAACTTACTAAAATCTGTAAATGCATAATCAATTTTATTGATGATGACAGACTAGGAAATGATAAAAATGACAGAACAACGCGCAACGATAAAAGTTTCATTGACAATGTTATTGTGTCACAAATGTGTCTTCCCCTCTTAAATGATTCTGATATAATTGGCTATTCTCCCATCCACTCGGACATTCAGAGTCTTTATATCTCCTTAAAGTGATCAATGCAAAATCCAACAATGTACATAAACGAAATAAGGCTTCAGGAGTGGTTTGTGCAAAGAATGATGACGTAAGATAGCATTGGCGTACTTACCGCATTATACTCGGAATTCTTTCAAGCTGGTAATTTCCTCTGGTGTAACCCCTCATCCTTACAAAATACTGGTGATCCAATTCACCCAAATTCGTATAGACCAATTACAATACAAAGCTGTTTCAGCCGTGCCAATTTCTATTTGTCAGAGGGGTACACAAAGTCCGGGATCTAGACTACCAGTTTTCCGACTTCCATTCTTGTGAAAGCCGCGGTGGCTGGTTGGGTGGGATGACAGACTTTTTGTACTGGTGATTACGTACCTGACTGTGAGAGTCTGAAGGTGATGTCTGCTGACCCAATGGACAAATGATCAAAACTTCTTGTCCGTAATCTGGATCAACCCTCGAATAGAATCACCTCCGTTTTGTCTAAAAAATGAGTTTCAGCTTGTTCTTTTCCATCCATGTACTGACATCAGCAATGCACTGTTGCATTGCATGTTTTGCTTCAGATTGACTTCTGCATAGATGTGATGAGGTGTTACATGTTCTTCAATACACTGGCCTAGAGGTGTTGTGTAAATTAGAATCAAACTGTTGGTGGATATTGGTGACCTTGTTCAGAAAGTAGCTGTTAAATTCTGATGCTAGGTGAGCATCTTCTCCCTGAGGAAGTATTGCAGTCAGCGTTGTCTTTACGCATGAGATTGTTCACAGAGTGTCTGCAAGTACTAGTGTTGAAGATTTGTCTGTGAATCTCCAGTTGGGACTTCCTCCACTGGCGTTCTGCTTCTTTCCGTATGCTGTTGGCTTCCCCGATCTCTGTCGTGTGCCATGAGGATGTCGTTCTTGGTCTACGTCATGACAGGGTCATGTTTATCAACTACCTCCGCAAGTTTTGTGTTTAACTCACTGGCCAAAGTGTTTACATCGTCTTTCGAGAAAATCATTTGAAAAAGAGTTAATGTCTACAGATTTGAAGTGTCGAAAGTCCACTCTTCTGTCTGCTGTCGTGGGATTACTGAATTGAAGGGTAAGTTTCACAAGAAAAGGATCTGACATTTGGTGATGAGTTACTTATAAATGTTGAACAGTATTGTTAGCAGACAGATGCCAATCTGTCACATGACCGGATCTGTGCGTGGCTGATGTGACATGCCGATCATATCCATGAAAGTAAAGGAGTTGTAATACCTTCTTGGTTAAGGAGTTTTCGGCATTGTCATAGTGAATATTGAAGTCACATTATATGACTGTATGACCTCGTCCTGTCAAGGGTGCTGAGCAGATCGGCAAAACCCTTGTAGAAATCTGAGTCTGATAGCTTATTGCAACGTGATGGAGGTGGTCTGTAAATGCATACCACTTTAAGTGATTTCTGTTGTGAGGTGAAAATGATGAAAAAGATTGTTGATGAACGTGTTCGCCATATTTGTCCTTGCACTAAAACATTAGTCGGTTTTATGTGGGATACGGGTACTGTAATCTGTAAGCAGTGTTTTAGGGAAAGTTCTGACAAGTCTTCACTTGACACCTACACCATCATAACTGTGAAGGTATTATCATGTAACCAGTGAGATCACTGTCAATATGTCCAGGTGAATACATTTGTTGAACATTGTCTGATTACTGGGCACATGGATGTTATAACTATGAATCATGCATGGACAGTTATAAATTCAAGTTAGCGTGTTGGGCGCAAATGGGCCTTCAGTTTGCCATATTCTTTGCTGCTACTACTTCTATCACATCCAAAGCAGAGAATCAGATTAAGATAACCTTGCCATTATTATTGTAGACTTCACGATTAAAAGGAAATGCCCATAAAGGAAATCTACCAAGAATTTGAAAGAATGCTTGCAAAACATTTTTTTCACATTCACGAGTGCTTGATAGCCATGGAAGGCATGCATCCAACTGATTCCTCCTCTCTCAATATAAAGAAGTGTGTAAAGTATCCACGTCCTTTACGACACCGATTCATCTGGATTTACGTCAGTAAAGTCACAACGTCCTATTTTTGGTTCAAATGACATAAAGATGTAATTCCGGCAAGTGGAGGTAGCAGTTTTAGAGTCTGCTCTGGAAGTATTTATGCCACTGTGATACAGAAGCCATCAAACAACCATATTCCTACCAGCAGCAGATAAGTCAAGTTGATGACATAAAATTTCAGCTAAATGGGTTTGCTTTGTTAAACCTTGATTACCTGAAAAAATATGTGCAAAATACTTCAGGGCTATTAAAACAGCCAATGCATCGGCAGTAAACATGGAACTTCCATCAGTCAATCTGGCAGAACATGTGCTACATTTCTGTGGGTAATTCATTATCGCCGTGTTCGATTCATTAGTACACCTTTACAAGAGAGATATCTATTTGTTGGTAACCAAAATGCATATCTGTGCAATAATGTATTTGTGACGGCCTTTCTTTGTTTCATCAATTCTTTCGTTTGTTTCGTCAGGATAACCATGGAGGTATTTCTGACGAATTAAATTTAGAAATATTGATGAGATATCAATGAAAGCATACGCAGAGTATATTAACAGTGTTAATTTGTGATCATAGCAAATCTAATCATCTGGTTTGATAATTCAGTTAAAAGCTGGGTAAGATATCTTTGCGTGAAACTTGCCAGTATATTGGAAAGCGGGTTTTACTCCTCTTAACTTTAAACACAGCACATTGGCGACACAATGTATGGATGTAGTGGGAGATGTCCTCTCATTGCTAATCTGATATCTTAATTATACATTGTATCTAGTTATGGAATATATAGTTTATACCATACATTAACAAACCTTGACATCAGTCAGATCATTTATCAAATATGTACACAGGGTAAGAGGCGTTTCTTGATCTCTAACACTGATCTTTACCATTATAACACGCGGTTTGTTGGATTGGCATTCTAGAAGTTGGTGGTATAGAGAAAACAAAACTTAATGGATGATTAACGTGAGTTAAGCACTTAACTTTTTTTTTTGCATATGCGAAATAAATACGATGCCCTGCATTATTTTCATATGTGAGTTTTGTTGTTACAAAAATGTAGAACTGGTTTTGAGTGACTGCTTGTGTTACACGACTGTAACTATCCTGCAGTGCTGTTAATGTTGGTACCACACAACACACATAGACAGCGTTGTGGGTAGAAAGTGCCACATACTGCAGTAAGTCAACACAATCAAGTGTTCGCCATAACTGGCGTGTTTTGAGATGCGTGCACTTTGTGTTGATGCGTTTCTGGTGTTCTATGAAACTAACATGAATCTACTGTCATCCGATAATCCATCAGGGAACGGGGGGTATAGATGCCCAATGATATCTATATCCCTTGAGAAAGTTCTTGTTGACCATGAACAGCGGTGAACCAGTAGTTTGGTAACGTTCCACACTTGAAACCTTGCCTGCCGTCACAGTAATCCCCTCAGCACGTATTGTCAGTAAACAATGTGTAATTATATTAAACAATCTTCAACAGAACATTCTGAATATTTCAGTTCCAAGGGGTATGTTGTCAAGAGGAAGAACATAGGCAGAACAGCAGGACACACAGTAATAAGTCACACATGAGAAGTGAAGTATATAGCTATTTATTATTTATTTCAATTAATGAACCAGAAAAAAACAAATTTATCATGTAACAAAAGGCAGCAGGAATATGTTATAAGCTTTGCAGTTACCAAACTTTAAGGTATTACATTAAGGAAGAGTAAAATGGTTATATATTTCCCCAGCACACAGCACTTCGATCATCAGCTCCTATGTGACACACGAACGACGTAGTGGATATGTGTGCAAGAGTAAATGATTGAAACTGTCATCGCTAGATGAGCACTTTGGTATTCATAGCAGTCTTAAATGGATACAAAGGATCACCTTTCCCCCTTGTTATGTGAGAATCATGTTTGGGACAAGGCAACATCACACAGACCTCGAAGTGCTGCCTGAGGCTTATCTTCAGTCCCCTGATATACACAAGGGACGGAGATGGATGGTTAACAAGGCTTATACCATTTCCAATAAGACATCTCTGAAATACACACACAATCTTCATTGTATCAGATGTATTTAGATGTGTTTGTGGTGAGTTATTCCTCTCGACCTTGTTAACTCTGAAATATATAGGTGGTTGACAAAATCAATTCACGTAAGGTTTGGTTATGTGTTGCTGAAAACGAGGGTTTGCATGTATATTCTGCGCACAAATTACCAGTTTAATCTCAGACAACACATAGATATGTAAATACCCATAATATACATACGATGTGCTGGTATAAGCGGTCACAGTGGTATAATATGGAGCAATACATTTTCGAAATAATACTGATATCGCCAAGCTAACGACATGCTATTAAATCAAAAGTATGGCCTTGCGCACACTTGCATATTACATTGCATGCACTACACGATAGCTTTGTCCTGAAGTTAACGTTTGGATTATTACTGAGTCAGTGTTGAATACCGGATTAAACCTTATTTGAGTCTCATCCCCCGATGGTTGTAAAGGTTTATGAATAAATGACGTAAATGTTGTGCAATGTGTAAACGTGATAATGTTGAATGTACAGATGACTGGCATAGTTTGATAAAACTCGAAATTAGCCAGGATATGAACAACAGAAATTAGACTCGACAACCATTATGAAAAGCGATGTAACTGAATTATTAAATTATTAACAACAGGGATTAGACTGGGGAATATCATAACGGCAGGCGTATTATCCTAGGCTTACCGATAGGCGGCGGTTACTTGGGAAAGGATGTACGTTCATCATTGGGAAGTTGAGTGTTGTGAGAGGACTCCTTGTAATGGCCAGATCATGAGAGCCGACATGTGTAATTGGACATGGAAACTAATATCACAGCTGAAACCTAGCAACCTTGCCCCCAGCTATCATTTCGTCGCCTACTTACGTGAAGTAATAGAAGAATGGTCTTAGACGCGTGACAACATTACCATGATAAGCTAGGACCATATGCTTTGGTTAGAATTATCGTTATATCCACAACTCATCATGCGGTTCAAAGTGAAATACAACAAAACTGAATGAGAACAGTAAATGTATCATCGGTGGTACAGTTGACAGATTCACCTTCACAAGCACATGAATTGTTTTGTATACATCTCAGTCAGAATGGGTGAACTATGTATACAAGACGGGTCAGTCCCGTGGCTATGTATATATACCACCAAATATTAATGAGTGAAGGACAATGGCACTGCATAACATCACGGTTTTTTGCACAACACACAAACAAAACACAGCCAAGAAGATTGTCATTAATATTTCAAATAATCCGTTTACCCTTCTGGAGATCTGTGTCAGCTGATCGAGTACGAATCGTGACAGGCTTACGAAACAGTTCATTTGGCCCCAAAACGTTCATATGACTCCACCGAAAACGAGAAGAAAAATGTATTCCCCCTCCCTGCAAAGCGTAATAAATACTCATATGACGTCAGCTATTGTATGTAACCAATGGATTTAGGTATTTTAAAATTACAGTAATATTTAGACAGTGTGATCTCGTTCACATCCTATCGTGATTGCGATGTCCCAGGAACTCGCCAACCAAGTATAGTTCGCTAGTTTCACACATAGTCGACTTGGCTCACATCACTTTTCACGTAGCTATAGTTCGTCACTGTTGTTCGCCTCATGGCATTGCTCAGATCGTTTTTTGAACCGCATACAAGGGCTTTTCTGAACGAATTCCGGAACTTCTGTGAATAGATGTTGTATATGATTGGGTTACCAGCACTGTTGACGTAGATGAGAAGACGAACGAATGCCATAAGGTTTTGATACTGTTCCACTCCCATGCTTCGTACCTTTTCAAGCGGGGTGAAGATCTGCCAGAGAGCTACAATACGAAACGGAAGCAAACACGCGAAGAAGAGAACGATGATTCCAATCAGCATGCTTACAAGTTGTTTCCTGGAGCTGTTGGACTGAACCTTAGCGCTGTCCTTGACATCGCCGCTCATCACGGTATCCTTGACAACCTTGTAGATAATGAACGTGTACAGGAATACGAGCAGAGCCATGGGCACGACAAAGAAACAACAAAATATGATGACCATGTACACAGTCTTCCAGTTCTCGTTGATAGGAGTGATGCATATCGAGACGTGCTCTTTGTAGATGAAATGGTATTCTTCAGTTGTGTGCGCCATGACGAGGAAGGGTGACGTGACGGCAAGGACCAGGATCCAGATGACCACCATGATGAGCATAGCCTTGGACTTGCTTCCAGATGAGTAAGTTCGGAGTGGGTGAGCAACTGCGAAAAATCGTCCGAGGCTGACAGCCAGAATAATCATGATGGAGGCATGAGTCACGAAGTTTTCCAGGAAGCTCACAAGTCTGCCTGAAAGTAGAGAAGATGCGCATTACATATTATGTAACTTCTTATGAATGTGGAAAGTGTTTTGTCGCTTCTATTTAGATAGATCTTATAGTACACAATAACCACAGGTGCACACACGCGCGCACGCACGCACGCACACACGTGTGGTTATGTAACCTGTGGGTGACACGCTGAAGATGAATGTTGAGGTAAGCTACCATCTGTAGCTGTCGACTTCACATTCAAGTATTTTAGATTTCTGTTCATGTCAAACATTACTATAACTATAGACGGAAGAGTGAATCAAGATTCAGCAACCTCTTTTTTATTAACTAGAATTCAGACAGGTGTTTCGAGAAATTGACTTAGCTTTTTGTCATTATCAAACAATACGAAACATTCAAAGAAACAGGATGTTGCCAAGAGCTGAAGTGAAATTGCTCTGTCAAATTTGAGTAGAAATACCGAGATAGGGAGTGAGTGAGTGAGTGTGGTTTTACGCCGCTTTTAGCAATATTCCAGCAATATCACGGCGGGGGACACCGGAAATGGACTTCACATATTGTACCCATGTGGGGAATCGAACCCGGGTCTTCGGCGTGAACAGAGTTAGGAGTCATGACATAGCCCAGATAACAGTTGTGGTGGCTTCTGGTCTCAGCACATACAATAATGTGATGATATACTACAGGTAGGGGTATTTAATTAACAGGTGCCACAACTATTTGTTTTATTAATATTGATATTCAATGAGATAAATTGTTTAACCGTATACAGACCTCTGACTGAGATTTGCATCATTCATTGGAGGACAGATGATCATAGGTTTTGATTGGCCAACGCGCCCTACAGTCCAGCAAATCATGAAAAGTCAAACTCATTAATATGGCGCGAATCCGCCTCTATCCTTAAGGTAATTCCGGATTTGACACGGTATAATCTCAATCAAACGTCAAATGTCATCTGACTTTCTTCCATCCCATTCTGTGTGCAGGGTTGTGCCGTTTTCAAGTCTTTAGGTGGCAGTTAGAAATGATGCACATAAGGATGAGAGTTGGATGTCAAAGTCATTATTATGAGGACACAACGTATCGGAGTTATTACTTACTTCGTCATGAGGTCAATGAAACACATACGCTGAAACGTTGTGTTCCTCATAATAGAGAAGTCGACATCCATAATACTCTCTTCAGTGCCACTTTCGTTGAGAGTGGTCGGTGGTTGTGACGTACATCCCGGCCGCGTGACAAAGGTGACAAGTGTGGACTGAGTGCTGGTCATGGTAAGGTAAGGTTAAGTGGTTATACTCTCCTGTTGGTGGTACTCGAGACAAGACAAGCTCTGCGTGTACCACGTGTCTCGGCGCACCGTGGTACCGTGTGTGCCTCCGGTATGTTGTCACTGTGGTACTGACCCGTCACTCGTCCCTGTATAACATGTAAAGGTGTTCTGCCGGTCACAGTGATTCAACCCCACACCATTATTCGATTATGTACAGACTACAGCCATACAGCTGGAATATTGCGCGGCGTTAAATAACATAGGAACAAACTGAGCCACCTGACAACGATTGTTCTGCCTGATAATGCTCATTCTATCTCTACGCCACTATGTATTGTGCTTCTCTACACCATCGCCATATTGCAGCAATGTGACGGTCCGCTAACCGTGGGATAACACCATCGCCATATTGCAGCAATGTGACGGTCCGCCAACCGTGGGATAACACCATTGACATATTGCAGCAATGTGACGGTCCGCCAACCGTGGAATAACACCATCGCCATATTGCAGCAATGTGACGGTCCGCCAACCGTGTGATAACACCATCGCCATATTGCAGCAATGTGACGGTCCGTCAACCGTGGGATAACACCATCGCCATATTGCAGCAATGTGACGGTCCGCCAACCGTGGAATAACACCATCGCCATATTGCAGCAATGTGACGGTCCATCAACCGTGGAATAACACCATCGCCATATTGCAGCAATGTGACGGTCCATCAACCGTGGGATAACACCATCGCCATATTGCAGCAATGTGACGGTCCGCCAACCGTGGGATAACACCATCGCCATATTGCAGCAATGTGACGGTCCGCCAACCGTGGGGGATAACACCATCGCCATATTGCAGCAATGTGACGGTCCGCCAACCGTGGGATAATACCATCGCCATATTGCAGCAATGTGACGGTCCATCAACCGTGGGATAACACCATCGCCATATTGCAGCAATGTGACGGTCCATCAACCGTGGGATAACACCATCGCCATATTGCAGCAATGTGACGGTCCGCCAACCGTGGGATAACACCATCGTCATATTGCAGCAATGTGACGGTCCGCCAACCGTGGGATAACACCATCGTCATACATCGCCATATTGCAGCAATGTGACGGTCCGCCAACCGTAACACCATCGGGATATCACCATCGTCATATTGCAGCAATGTGACTGTCCGCCAACCGTCGGTCCGATCAACCGTGGGATAACACCATCGCCATATTGCAGCAATGTGACGGTCCATCAACCGTGGTATAACACCATCGCCATATTGCAGCAATGTGACGGTCTTTCAACCGTGGTATAACACCATCGTCATATTGCAGCAATGTGACGGTCCGCCAACCGTGGAATAACACCATCGCCATATTGCAGCAATGTGACGATCCATCAACCGTGGTGGTATAACACCATCGCCATATTGCAGCAATGCAGACGGTCCATCAACCGTGGGATAACACCATCGCCATATTGCAGCAATGTGACGGTCCGCCAACCGTGGGATAACACCATCGCCATATTGCAGCAATGTGACGGTCCGCCAACCGTGGGATAACACCATCGCCATATTGCAGCAATGTGACGGTCCGTCAACCGTGGGATAACACCATCGTCATATTGCAGCAATGTGACGGTCCGTCAACCGTGGGATAACACCATCGCCATATTGCAGCAATGTGATGTGAGTGGAATAACACCATCGCCATATTGCAGCAATGTGACGGTCCATCAACCGTGGTATAACACCATCGCCATATTGCAGCAATGTGACGGTCCGCCAACCGTGGGATAACACCATCGTCATATTGCATATTGCATCGCAATGTGACGGTCCATCAACCGTGGGATAACACCATCGCCATATTGCAGCAATGTGACGGTCCATCAACCGTGGGATAACCACCATCGCCATATTGCAGCACGGTGACGGTCCATCAACAGCGTGGGATAACAACCATCGCCATATTGCAGCAATGTGACGGTCCGTCAACCGTGGGATAACACCATCGCCATATTGCAGCAATGTGACGGTCCGTCAACCGTGGGATAACACCATCGCCATATTGCAGCAATGTGACGGTCCGCCAACCGTGGATAACACCATCGCCATATTGCAGCAATGTGACGGTCCGCCAACCGTGGGATAACACCATCGCCATATTGCAGCAATGTGACGGTCCGCCAACCGTGGGATAACACCATCATCATATTGCAGCAATGTGACGGTCCGCCAACCGTGGGATAACACCATCGCCATATTGCAGCAAGGTGACGGTCCATCAACCGTGGGATAACACCATCGCCATATTGCAGCAATGTGACGGTCCGCCAACCGTGGGATAACACCATCGCCATATTGCAGCAATGTGACGGTCCGCCAACCGTGGGATAACACCATCGTCATATTGCAGCAATGTGACGGTCCGTGGGATAACACCATAACACCATCGTCATATTGCAGCAATGTCACGGTCCGCCAACCGTGGAATAACACCATCGCCATATTGCAGCAAAGTGACGATCCATCAACCGTGGTATAACACCAAAGCCATATTGCAGCAATGTGACGGTCCGCCAACCGTGGGATAACACCATCGTCATATTGCAGCAATGTGACGGTCCGCCAACCGTGGGATAACACCATCGCCATATTGCAGCAATGTGACGGTCCGTCAACCGTGGCATAACACCATCGCCATATTGCAGCAATGTGACGGTCCGCCAACCGTGGGGTAACACCATCGTCATATTGCAGCAATGTGACGGTCCGTCAACCGTGGTATAACACCATCGTCATATTGCAGCAATGTGACGGTCCGCCAACCGTGGAATAACACCATCGCCATATTGCAGCAATGTGACGGTCCATCAACCGTGGTATAACACCATCGCCATATTGCAGCAATGTGACGGTCCGCCAACCGTGGGATAACACCATCGTCATATTGCAGCAATGTGACGGTCCGCCAACCGTGGGATAACACCATCGTCATATTGCAGCAATGTGACGGTCCATCAACCGTGGTATAACACCATCGCCATATTGCAGCAATGTGACGGTCCATCAACCGTGGTATAACACCATCGCCATATTGCAGCAATGTGACGGTCCATCAACCGTGGGATAACACTATCGCCATATTGCAGCAATGACGGTCCGCCAACCGTGGGGATAACACCATCGCCAACCAATGTGATTGCGGTCCTGGTCAACCGTGGGATAACACCATCGCCATATTGCAGCAATGTGACGGTCCGCCAACCGTGGGATAACACCATCGTCATATTGCAGCAAGGTGACGGTCCGCCAACCGTGGGATAACACCATCGACATATTGCAGCAATGTGACGGTCCGCCAACCGTTGGATAACACCATCGCCATATTGCAGCAATGTGACGGTCCGTCAACCGTTGGATAACACCATCGCCATATTGCAGCAATGTGACGGTCCGTCAACCGTGGGATAACACCATCGCCATATTGCAGCAATGTGACGGTCCGTCAACCGTGGGATAACGCCATCGCCATATTGCAGCAATGTGACGGTCCATCAACCGTCAACCGGGGTAACACCATCGCCATATTGCAGCAATGTGACGGTCCGTCAACCGTGGGATAACACCATCGCCATATTGCAGCAATGTGACGGTCCGTCAACCGTGGGGTAACACCATCGCCATATTGCAGCAATATTGCGGTCCGTCAACCGTGGGGTAACACCATCGCCAT